GCCATCTGAGCCGCACTGAGGAACCGAACCCCGGACCCGGAGACACACACCTTTACGCACGCACAGGGAGACTCATATATTGCAGCCAAAAAGACAGGAACGCCGACCGAGGCAAACTCAACTGCGCCGCGGATTTGCACTTTATCTCCCCAAAAATAAAAAATAAACTCACTCCCTGCGAGTTATCTCACAACCAACAATTTAATAACATGTCATCATCGGTTAAGGACAGCGGGCATTACGCCAACTATGTGGGACCGTACCGCTTGGAGAAGACGCTGGGCAAAGGACAGACAGGTTAGTGAAAGCCTCTCCTGAAAGCCTCCAGATGCGGGAGTTGCTGGCAGGGCTCCCCGCATCAACACGCCTCAAACCCGGGGTGAATTATGTTGCATCGCCGCTGCGGGTTCTGAATGGGAAATGTCTCTAAAGTGCGGGTGTTTCTGGTGGATGCGGCTTTGAGATGTGTTGCCTCCGTGCTGATGATGATGACACTGTGGTGGTGGTGGTGGTGTGCCTTTAATCCTTGTTGTCAGGCAGAGAGGGCTCCCTGATAATGGGCCCTTGTGATTTTTCTTGTCTGTAATTCCGTTAAAGCATCCATCTGCTGAGGCTGCTCTCTCTGCAGAAGAGGCAGTGATGCTGCTGCACTGTCACACACACACACACACACACACACACACACGCACGCACACACACGCATGCACACACACTATGCAGCTGCAACATCACACAATTCTGCAAATGTGTTCTAATGGTGCAGCCTTCTGAGTTCCTTTTCTCCATGGCTCATATTTAGTGTTACTCGTAGGCCTCACTGTATGTTTCAGTAGGCAGTTATACATCGGAAACATTATGCCCCTTCCTAGTGGATTAATGTATTGTTTTTGGTCTTAGTTGCCTACAATGTCTTTATTGGATTAGTTGATGTTATCCTTATTTCATGCTGAATGACTTCCGATTAACTTGAAAGAGCAAACATCATACAAACACAATATGGATTTAAAGTTGTGCTTTTAAATCATTCTTTGTGAATCAAATGTTGATTAAATCAACTAATCGAGCGTTGTTCGACTGGATTTTAGCAAAGGACAGCCTTAAGATACATTTGAGGTTTATCAATGGCTGCTAGTGAAGAAGTCAAACCAAAGAGTGATCTCCAGTTCTTCAAGATTTATTTTGGGTGAGATATGTTCTTCTTGGGACTGTTTCAGTGTTGATGCAGCTGATCTTGGAGGCTGTAGATTGTGGTGCTGTTGAGATGTTTTGTTGTGGTAAAGTGGAAGATGTTTCTAACATTTAATTTACCGTTTATATAATGCGGATGGACCAACTAGAAACAACCTTTAGAGCTGCATATCATTGTGCTGTTCAGGTTTGGAAAAGGATGTTAACGTTTCCAGTTGAGTTTGCCAAGAAAACCTTGCATCAGATTCAGGACCCATATTTAACTAAGAAATAAGGATACATTGGAATTCATATATCACAGAGACTTTTTAAGAATACCATCTAAAAATTAGACATGAAGTTTCTGAGTAATAACTCTCTATTTCAAATGCATGCTGTAGTGTTTTAGATCAAACTTTCCATAACCTTTAGTGCCATGTTCTTTCTTGCTTTCACATTTTATTTGACAAGTTTGGATATTTGGGATATTCTTCATGAACACGGGACATCAGGCGCTCCTGCAGTCATTAGGGAAGGAATCATGTCACCACATTGTTAAATAAGCCGATAAAATATTTCTCGCAGATTTGAAACAACAGTTGACCAACTTTATTTCCCCCCAACGTCAACAAGCACTCGGGTCTCAGCTGTGTGCGTCACTTTTCAGTGTCCCCTGGAAACAGTTTCCGTTGTGTTCGTTCTGCGCTTTTTGTAAACGCTGCGCATGTGTTGTCAAGTTGATGAAGATGTTTCTTCTGTGTGTCTTGGCACATTTTTGTATTTGTATTTTCATGGTTTCTGAAGCTTCAGCGCGTTTATCTTCATGGTTAACATTTGGGCCGTTGTAACGCGTTTGCACTTTTCGGCTACCGTAAAAAACACATTAAAAAATGCACTGACTTCCAATCGAGGCAACAGGATGCTGACTCAAACCCTAGGTGTAGGACTCATTCCTGCACCACTCATCAGAGCAATGTTTCACTGACTGAATCTGTGTGTCTGTGAAACTGGTTGAGTGCATAATTCTGTTGAGAGTTGTGTGTGTGTGTGTGTGTGTGTGTGTGTGTGTGTGTGTGGTGTGTGTGTGTGTTGTGTGTGTGTGTGTGGTGTGTGGTGTGTGTGTGTGTGTGTGGTGTGTGTGTGTGTGTGATGTGTGTGTGTGTGTGTGGTGTGTGTGTGTGTGTGTGTGGTGTGTGTGTGTGTGTGTGTGTGTGTGTGTGTGTGTGTGTGTGTGGTGTGTGTGTGTGTGTGAGTGGAGTGATACTTTGCTTTTTATAGGCTTTTGGTATAAATCGGAGGCACAGACAGGGATACCCGTATTTCATTAAACCTCCTCCACAAGTGCAGAGCAAGCCCACGCTCTCTGTGTGTGTGTGTGTGTGTGTGTGTGTGTGTGTGTGTGTGTGTGTGTGTGTGTGTGTGTGTGTGTGTGTGTGTGTGTGTGTGTGTGTGTGTGTGTGTGTGTGTGTGTGTGTGTGTGTGTGTGTGTGTGTGTGTGTGTGTGTTTGTGGTTTGGGGGGGATCTCTGAGGGAGTGGACTAATGCTTGGCACAGCATAATACCTTATTACATGGTTCCGTTTCTGATTACAATTTGATGTTTGAATAGTTAAAGGACTGTTTTAAGATGAACACATATTCTGCAACCCACATCTGGCAGCGTATTTCATCAACAAACCATTATTTTGTAACTTGTAATTTTTTGATTATTTTTAAGATTAGTTTTTGTGACCTGATTATTACAACAATGAATTTTCTCAAATTACATATCAAGAACTTTGGTTATGACATACATTCATTTCAACACTAGAGTAAGTGAAGGTCACTGGCAAATATGTTGCCAACAGCCCGTTATGTTCGCTTAGGCCTTTTACCTCAGCCATACAAGAGCACTAAAGCAAAGGACAATATTAAACGACCCAACACCGTTAGATGGCATAACATATTATGATGTAAGCTACAGCAGTGCAACAATACCATGGTTGTGAACACATTTTGTTAAAACAAATATGTGTGGATATTCCTAACAGAAACATACAGTGCTTGTGTGCCGACATGAAGTGAACAGCTGTCTACAAATGTTTGTGCAAAAAGTTGTACTGCTGCAAAAAGCCTTTTTAAATGTGCAGAGTTTGTAGTGCCCCACATTGTTTGATCCATGTGTAAAATATTTCCACACTTTAGATAATCTTAACTGCAGCGTGTTTTTCAAAGGGAATCCACTTTGAGGGGTGCAATCGCACTTCTTGCACCATTAACGTATGCTATGCAAACTCTGTATTTTCTTAATGAATGAGCAGCAAACCTTTTTGTTTAGCCGGATAATCTCCAGATATAAACACCACTTGATGTTGAACTAAACCGCTAACATAAGGCTATAAAGGAACTACAGCACGGTCACATGACTCGTCATCACCGTTAAGAATAAAGGGGGCTAATAATGGGCGTGATGACGTTTAGTCGTCTCATTTAGACACTTGTTAGCAACCACTGTTTTCACATTCATCAGTAGGGTGTTTACCAAGGTATTACATGTCGTAGAACAACAACCATGTTCAGAAAACCATTGGCCACCAGTCCAGTGGACTTATTTGCTGACTTATTTTCAGGGTTTAGAACTCATTCCTGCACCAATAAAGGACTACATATTTGTCAGTGAACAATAACAAATGAATCAGGTTTTAAACCAAAGACAACAGCAGTGTCTTTATCCGGGAGTGATGCAAAGTGTTTGCAACAGCTGTTAGCTTTAGCTCTGAGGCTAGTGTTTTGAATTCCATCTCAGATAAATGCTTTTCCTCTTTGTTCCCAGTTACAGTTGGAACAATGCCTTCATGGTGTGTGTCTGCTGGTCGAAGCCGAATGACGAGAGGCTGTGCTGACTCTGAACAATTAGTCTGTGTGTCTTCATGTGTGTGTGGGGGGATTGAAGTTTTTCTTTTACACTGGCTTCCCAGGCGCCATATAGCGCTAATTTTCTAAGTGTTCGCCAACAGTTGGGACGGTTGTCATGGTTTCATCTTTCCTCCTGAGACAATGGCCACTCGATGATCACTACAAGACTGAATCTGAAACTCCTCTTGTTCTTACTGCAGACCAAGATCTTTACAGTCTGTGGATAAACAGGAAGTAGAAAGAGTGCAGATTGTTTCAGATAGCTGATAATGAGTGTTAAGATTTGACATTGACAAACTACAACATTCAAATGATATGACATGTATTTGTTGATGATATAAAACACATAATTTATATTTTTGAAACTACGAAAATAACCGTTCTGGATTCTGAGTACTTTAACTATTCATGCTCAAAGTGCATTTTCTGATAATATTTCTGTACTTCTACTTGAGTAACAATATAAAATCAGAACTTTTACTTGTATTTGAGGATCATAGTATTTCCACTTCCTCTTGTCCTCTCTCTTTTTTACCTCACTGTATACGACCAAGGTCTCCCATCTGCGCTTAACATTTTGTTGGTAAACAGGAAGTTTAAAGGAAGTAGATTTTTTAAGGCTGCCTGTAGGTGTGCAAAATATGAGTGCCATTCACTGGCTCTGATTTGCACATTTCATGTCAAGATATATATTTTTTTTAAGTCTGTAAAATACGACATGTTGGCCGGGACATCCTTGCTTCCATAAAATACTTAATTCAGATATTTTCACATATTTTTTTGTGTGTCCTTATACAGTAAATTGCTCGCTGCCATAAGAGAGCGTGTGTGTCTGTGTGAGAACAGTTAAATGAGAAGTAAAACGGTAAAGCAGACAATGAGCTTGTTGTCTCTTCAGGAGCTTGATGAACCAGGCTACATCACCGACGTGCAGTCAAATATACATCATGCACTAATCTACCAGAGGACTTGGATTCCATCAAACTGGTCAACATTCACAAAATCCCCGGGAATACAAAGACATCCTTCACTTGTATTTGGCTGTAACCTGGAGTGTGTGTGTGTATGTGTGTGGGTGTGTGTGTCACTGTTGTGTTGTAATGAAAGTGTCATGTTATTGACATGGAAAATCCTAAAGACTGTAGTCCCTTGGCTCCAGTAGAGCCATGCTGTGTGTGTGTGTGTGTGTGTGTGTGTGTGTGTGTGTGTGTGTGTGTGTGTGTGTGTGTGTGTGTG